CCCTGCAATGGACTGGCGAACTGTCCACGGTGTACCCTTACTCTGAACTAAGTCAGCTGGGATAGGCTCCAGCCCCACCCCCTGTGAACCTACCACAAAAAGGATTAAAGATAATGGATGTTTCTGGTATACCAGCAACATTGATGTGCACTCTCCAGCCTGATAGGTGGAAAGTTTCATTTTTAACATTGTGTTGTTTAAGTTAGTTTCCGGTAGCTGACTCACACCACAAACCGAATTGATTTGAATATACAAACTAAGTTTTTTTTTTTATTAATTACAAGATCAATTCATTAGAAAGGGTCTGATTAAATAGACATTTTTCTATTGTTTATTCAGCTGATAAATACAAAATCTCTTTGAATCCAAAGAGTTCAGATTCTTGTTGAAGGACTTGTATTCAGGTTGCTCTGCAGGAGTGAAAAATAGACATTACATCTGGTTCCTTGACTCACAGATCATGTACAGCCGATGACCCCTAACTATTTTATGCCAACATCTGGCTGATGCTATGGGGAAACATTTCATGAGCCACAATCATAACAAAGACAGGTACGAAATTCTTTATGCAGGAATTTCTTAATGTTTTACATTCGTTACCCTTCTGGTATCTTTCCTATGAATTCATGCCTAAAAAGATACTGCACCTGGGTTGTAGTGGAAGATGATATTGAGAAGATCCTGATCTCCCCAGGTGATGTGGTTCTTGTACTTTTGGTACAGCGGATGGAGCAGGTCCTCCCATGACAGACCGCCGGGAATCATACTGTTCTAAAATACCAACATCAACAAAAATAGCTCAACAGCAGCCTTAAAAAAGAAAAGAAAGGAAAAAAAAAAACACATCAAAGGAGGAGCGCATTTACATTCCACTTTCTATTTACAATCTACTGCCAGTAAAGCTGCGAAATTGAGTCCCGGGGGCGTAGGCCTGTGATGCTGGCGCGGTAATCTGGAAGGCTCCAGTCCACAGGCGCTCGGGGCACTCAGACTCAAAGAAACAAACCCCTTCAGAATGCTAAAAAGGGGGGAAATGGCATCCCTCATCAAAGTGTCGCCGAACGATCTGGACTCACTTTAAACAGCGTGCTCCGGATCCTGGTGAGATTCATGAGCATGACCCCGGAGTTGACCCCGGTGACGCCGTAGTAAGGGTGGCGGGCGAACCGGCTGTACCAGCCTATCTTGGGCACCTCGTGCTCCGGGGCCATGGCCGCCAGCTGGGTCCCGTTGAAGGATCTCAAGAAGGTCCAGATATCGTCCATGGGCCTCAGGAACAGCACGTCGGTGTCCACGTAGAGCAAGGAGTCCACATCTTTCAGGATCACCTGAGAGGATCGTTCCCAGCCGTCAGCACAGGATATTTGGAGGTTCATTCAGGTCAGATAAAGAAAGTAATTGTGGGTTTTTGTTTGTCAGTGGGATTTTTTTATGTTGTGTGGTGTATTGCAAGGTAGCTGAGCTGAATGTGAGAAAGAGAGCTTTACTCCCTTTATCTGTGATCCAGGACATAGAAGTTGGTGAATAGTGTTAGAAAGGTGTTAGTTAACTAAATGTATGAGTGTTTTTCCTTTTAAAAAAGACAGATTTATTTTTTTTGTCACTGCTCTGCTACTTTGTAGAGAAAAATGTTAACATTTAACCCATCAAGGACGGGGTTCCTTTTCCCCGTCCTTTACAAAGACGTAGCTTTTTTCATTGAGTGTGGTGTTGGCTTTAAACTGTATGGATGTCTAAGATCATTTCTGTGAAGTTGTGTCTATATAACAAAAATTATTTAAAAATTGTGTGTGGGGTGTACAATTGAGAGTATGGCAGGGGCAGTAATATGCTTTTTATAAGATGCTCCTTTATAGAGTAGATATTGAGAGATTCGTGTTGAGCCTAACACCTGTTGGGCTCAGACTGTTTCACGTGTACCCACTCACAGTCTATTCCATGCAAGAAATGAACACTATCCTGAAAACAAAATCAACCACCAGGCATAAGCTGCTCTTTGTAAAATGATTTGATTCAGTCAATGGAAAGTGTCTGTTAAGTGAAGTAAATACTGCAAAAAATATATATTTTTTACTTTAACAATGCATTATAACAAGAAAAAAATAACATTATGATAAAAAAAGCTTCTATTTATGCTATTTTCTTAATATTATGGTTGATGATAAGGGAAGAGATAAATGTCTTACAGGGAGGAAAAGCCTCTGAGCAGCGCAGGGCTTGAAGAGCTTTTTCCACTCATCGGCGTTGCCCACGGAAAAGGAGATGGGATAGATTCTGTACTGGAACTTGGCTGAGATGGAGCTGGGCCACTGGTTCAGCTGCGAGAAAGGAAGGAAAAGGTGTGAGGAAACCATCTTACTAGGAGCTGAACCCTTCTCTGCTCTGCTGGAAGGCAGCCTCTAGCTGTCGGTGAGCAAATTCAGCGTGTCTCTTAAAACTGTGGCTGCTCCTAAGCTCTTCCCTGTTCAAAGAAAGTACGGGCAACATTATTAGGGTCTTGATGCCTGGGAATTTCAACAAATGATGCAGCTACGCAGGCAAGGCAGGCTGATAAGTTGAGGATTTTACTTTAAGCTCCTTAACACAGTGTTTGAAGTCCATTCAGTGGGATTTTAATAGACTATTAGTTACAGCATCAATAGAGCTCATCAAAGTCATGCACGGTAAGGTGGCTTTGAAGTGAAACACAGGACTGGGGGAAAAGCAGGATGTCTAGGTGATATATTACGCCCATGCCTTGAGATAAAAGGGCTTTATGGCTGTAATGGAGAGAGCTAGAGAGTAAAAAAAAAAACTCCTCTGATCTTGATATCATCTTCTACAAAGAGAGGAGTGTTTAAATTATGCAGGAAAAACCTGGAATGAGACATTTTTTCAAATAAAATCACACCAAGGTGCAGTGTAAATAAAGGATTTAGCACCGGCACACCGAAGGGGGGGGGGGGTCTTACCCTTTGCTCAAACTGCGGGGCCAAGGGGTCCTCGGCAAAAATGTGAAACTTAATCTGCTTCAGGCTGAACAGCAGGGCCGATTTGAGCATAGTGAGGGTCTCGTCCAGACGGTCCCCGCAGGCCACCACCGCCAAGTGCATGACCTCCTCTGCCCTCCTCTTCATCACCCGCCAGGCGCCATTACCTTGTGACGGTACGCCACTGAAAGACAGCAAAGAAAGAGACGTTAGTCACAAAACACCGTCCGTGTGCACATAAACTGCATTTTACAAAGAATATCTGCTCTTTTTTGGTGCAGATCTTCTAATAACTTGTTTTCTGTCTCCTCTGTCTTCATCTGTAAAAGGCTCAATAACCTGATCAAGAAAGGCTGGTTCTGCTCTGGGGGGTGACTGTGGAACATCTGGAGATGATGACGCAAAGAAGGATTCGGTATAACATCAAGAACATTACGGACAACCCTGACCATCCAACAGTCTCTTCAGTCAGAGGCTTCTTCAGGTTGGACCTTAGTCAGTATTTTTGTTAAACATTAACTTTTGAAGACCAAATTTAACACTCATAAGTATCAACTTCAAATTTAGAGCTAACTAGCTAATTTTATGCTAAATGAGAGCACATTGCTAATTGACGTGCTAGCATAAGCTTCATGTGCAAAAATCTAGTTTGAAAACAAAGTCCTTAAATAAAGGATTTACATTAACATTCAATATTCCTCCGGGATAGATAAAGTATTGTTTAATTGAATTGAACTGTTCCTCTTCAGCACTCATCCTAATGGAGGTTGAGGACATGCTGGAAAAGTCCTTTAAAGACCATTTTCCACAAGCATAGAAATGAGTGCAGCTCGGCCAGATTTAATTTCCTTGCAAATAAAAAAAAGTCACACTATGTAATGATTAAAATGATACGGCTGCTTAATGGTTCATTTTAGGAAATATTCAGGATGCCAGGACTAGTGTGGAATCAAAACACACTCATCAGCCATCAGCGCCTCCCACTATAACAATTATTTCTGCAATGGTGAAGCCTAAAGCCAGAGTCAATATTGCCTTCCTAGTCCTCCACAAAGACAGACAAATGCTCGCGGGTGGGGTGGGGAGGGCTTTTTAATGGCAACATGCCCGTCTTAAATGTTGTCGTAGCTTCAGCGGGAGAGGACCGGCAGACAAAAAGAACAGAGGACCTTTTGTTTCAGCGAGGGAAGCCGAACGGTTTCAAAATAACAAAAGAGACAAGGATCTCCTTTGAGTCTGGACAGGAAGGAGGAAGAGTGAAGTTTGACAGGTGGGTCTGCGAGCGTGACGCCGGGTTTCCCACACGGCCGGTTGGACGTCTGATGCTCTTTGGATAAGGACGGACGAAAATGTGCCGAGAAAACCCGTCCGTCGGGCCTTAAAGCCCGGCGCTACCGTTTCTTCCGCCCATCAGACAAACCCTTTTCTCTGACAATTTGTAGAACGAAACTGAATGCTAAAAGTTTTCACCGCTGAGTGCTCCGCGTCACACCGCTTTCCCACACATCTGGAAGCAGTCAAAACTGGGGAAAAAAAGCACAGAGGAGGTACAAAAGCGCTGAATTTATTACAGTGCTGCAGAGAGAGGAGAGGAGGAGAGGAGAGGAGAGGAGAGGAGAGGAGAGGAGAGGAGAGGAGAGGAGAGGAGAGGAGAAGAGAAGACAAGAGAAGAGAGGAGAGGACAGGAGAAGAGAAGACAGGAGAAAAGAGGACAGGAGAAGAGAAGAGAGGAAAAGAGAGGACAGGAGAAGAGGAGAGGGAAAAGAGAGGACAGGAGAAGAGGAGAGGACAGGAGAGGGGCCCTTTGCCAACAAAACACTACAGTTAGCCCTTTAAAATATTTAGAAAAGGCAGCTTTTTCAAAGGGAAATGTTCTCGTCTAGGGTGAAGAACCAGAGGAACAGCCTCACCAAAGAACGCCTTGAGGGGCATTTAATCTATCGGAATGGAACTGGGTCGTTTGGGGGACGCGTCCCACACGTTCCCATCCCGTCCGAAGCAGCGGGGATAAAAAATGGCCGCCGAACGGGCTCAGATCGGGACGGCAAAAGGTGGGAGATGACATAGTTTGGCAATAGGGACAACTCAGGTGATCCGTATGGACGGAAATGTACCTCAACGCTTAAAAGAAAAAACGTTTTATCGTTGTCATTGCTTTGTTTTTTTTCCAGTCACATTTTCCAAGGGTTTTAACACCATGTTTGAACTCATTCGGTGGAAATACGACGGAAAGACAGAACACAGAATTGTCCTTTAGGAATCTACAACTCTTTCTCGAGTGGCCAGTGTTAATCCAGGTGACCTGCTTGGTTCCGGTGGTCCTTTTTCTTTTGAGATCTGCAGTGCAATGACCATCAAACCGTACTGTTCCTGTATCTCTGGGCACACAGGCCCTAACATGAGGGCTCATACCGACTCACAACTAAAAGCAAAAGAGTTGACTCCCTCTATGTTTTCAGAGTGTAATCTAAAGAGCTGTTTATTCTAATCAGGGGTACTTTTAAAGGGTTACATGTTTAACTTAGTAATGATGCACCAGCATTGATAAATAATATCTTATTTTTTACATTTCCAAGTCAGCCAGAATTATTAATTGTGTTAGACATCCACATAAAAGCTTTCAAGTAAGTTTCCACTCCTTTTTTCCGCCCTTACATGTGTTCCATCAAAATGACGGACACACCCATTTTGGCTTTCACTGAGCAACTGACCAAACAAACCTGGCATTCTACGCACACGCAGGACCAGCACAGAACTTTCGGCAACCGATTCCAGCTGCGTTGGCACGATCGGCCCTAATTCGTCCGAAAACCTGCCAGGGACGCTGTAAGCTGCCAATCAGGATAGTTCCTACACAGCTCATGGGAAAAAATGGAACCTGTTCTTGTCTTTTTATCCAAATGTGTCAAATTCCCCCATCTTTACTTGAAGTTGATATAAAAAAAACAAGAAAAAAAAACATTCCAATGTAATTGATTCGTGTGAAAGTAGATGTATGACCCCAGATGCTCCTCAATAGTTATTACAAGCCAAAGAGTTTTGTAATGGCTGGAGAAAAAAAAAGCAACGTCGACATTCTGTTCTGAGAAAACATCTGAGTCCGGCAACTTATAAAGTCTCATTCCACCACGAAACTCCCTTTTTTTTTTTACCATTCAGCGCCCCTTTCTTATGCCAAGATTTATTGGCACCAGCTGTTTATCTGGAGATGCTCGAGTTCTCTTCTTTGACTGGTTGACTTTTTTTTGGAAGAGCAGCTGTTAAAATGATGTGGATTTGGAAGCAAAGTCAAACATTGCATCACTTAAAGCTTGAACTGATTGTTAGCAAATCTAACAAGAAGCAGATTCCACTTATAGAACCTAGCATCCCCTACAACAAAGCAGGGACTACTGAGTCCTAAAACCCAGATTAAGGGTGGGTACACCTTTTAATCTCAGCACCACGAAAGACCCCACTGTTATCTTAACTTACAAATGTCCAATAATAGATTAAACTGTCCAACTCAACATGTTACCTAAAAAAATGAACAGCTGAATGTGAAGTTAGACAGTCTTGGTCACTAGTTAAGCATCAAGCAAATGTTGATATCGTTACAGTCCAATGTTTTTATTCCCATTATTGGATCCTTTGGCTTTTTAGACCATGCTTAAACTCCAAAGTCCTGCTCAGGTCTTTCTATTTCGACACCAAGTGACTCATACTCAAGTCATTTAAAGGAGGGGAGTTAGCCAAACTTCCAGAGGATTCCACACAAGGCTGCCCAGGCGAGCAGGGTGATCGGGAGCCGCTCCGAGCGGAAAAGAGCGCTCGGTCATGCGAGATGACGTTTTTATAGCTCTGCATAATGCCACCGCGAGCGAGAAAGGGAGAGAGAGAGAGAGAAAGAGAGAGAGGCTTCTTTACGGCGCGAAACGCTGCTCGGCTAGATTGGAAGTGACAGGGCAGAGGATTTGTTTCAACACAGAACATCAACACCAATCGAGTCCTGAAGACGCGCGGAGGAAGGGTAGAAGAAACGGGGGGGGGGGGGGGGGCGGCATCTTCTCAGCTCTATGGCTCTGGGTAAAACCAGGTGGTGTCGAAGGCAGGAAGTCCAAAGGAGGAAAGACATCAGCAACGATCTGCTGGAAACAACTATGGCTGCCTATATACCTGAGACGGGTTATAGGGCTATTTCCAAACGAGCGAGCCATGAGTCTACTGTATTAGTATTAATATCATTGTTGGGTTTCTGTAATTAACTTCAGAGTAGGGTCTGACCTGCTCTGTTTGGAAAGCCATGGTTCTACTCGAGGTTTCTGCCTGTTAAAAGGAAGTTTTTGCTTGCCTGTGTGGCCTAGTGGTTGCTCATGGTGGGAATTGTTGGGTTTCTGTAATTAACTTCAGAGTAGGGTCTGACCTGCTCTGTTTGGAAAGCGCTGCGAGACAACTGTTGTTGTGATGTGGCGCTATATAAATAAAATTGAATTGAAGAAAGATTGTTTCCAACTGAAAAACGTTAAGGACAGCCTTCAATCTTCCCGGAAGTGGACACCCCGACGGATTCACCCCGAGGGGCAAAAAGCCAGAGGGATACATCTCAGACTCCACGGGAACCAGTAAGCGCGTTAATGGTCAAGGGTCACGCAGGACAATTAGAAAAAGACTGGACAATAATGGCTTCTTTGGAAGAGATGGAGATAAAAACTCACAAACACATAAACTGAGACAGAAATGCCATGGGTGTTAGGTGTAGCCACGGGGGAACAATCTGTTTTAGAACAACAGACCACAAAAATGTGTTCTCAAAGTTGTCGGAAATGTTTGAACTGTGAACAAAAAAAAGTCACAACGTGCAGCCAGTAGGGCGTGCGTGTGCGTGTCCTCTCTCTATTTTCGGCCACAGGAAGTGGTGCAATGTGTCAGGAGGAAATTGTCGGATTAAAAACAGGGACGTTCGTCTGGTGAGCCGGACCGCATATCTGCCCGGGGGATTTAGATTTACAGGCAAACACAGATTGCCAAAGAAAAGCAGGGGAATATAAAACACAAACTGAAGAGTTTTTTTTTATCTGTGCAAAGATATTCTTCCAAAAGCGATTATGTGTGGGATGAGAAATTCAACATTAAATTAATTATTTTCTGAAATCCTCATGTCTGTTTTCAAAGCATAAGCATGGATCGCTCTGCAGCCTCAGCTACTTTCTTTGTTCACACTCGTCTTGCTTGATATCTCCAGCTTTTCCCCGACACTCCGAGTTTTTCTTCCGTCCTCCAACTTTTTCCCCGACGACCGACCGACTGCAGGTGACCCTTTCCGCCCCAATCTCCCTTATCAGCGCTCAGCACCCTGTGAGCGGGGGGACGTAAAGGTCCTCTCTCCGAGCGGTGCTTTTATCTGCTGAGCCTCTGGGGCTGAATACTTATTACGGCCCTGCCTCCAGAGCGGGTATCTCCACAGGCACATTGTCGTCTGGCCAGCGGCCGGTGGGGGGGGGTGGAATAGCCCAAAAGATGCAGATGAGACTCTAAGTAGATGGCAGATTCTGAAATGACAAGATTCTGCCTCCTGTTTTGAATCTGGAAAGCAAGATTTAAAGTAAAAAAAAGCCTCTAGAGGGGGGGCTAAATATAACACCAGAAGACCTTCTTTTATTTTGTCTCTCTCCGTGGATTGTTTTGGCTGACTCTGACAAGCGCAAGGCTCAACAGGATGGATTTCCGTCTTCTCCGGCTTCCAGTAAAACCTCCACCGGGGGCTTCAGTGAACCCATATCCCTGCCAACCTCTGACCCCTCCCTGATTATTGACATTTCACATTTGGCTACCTAAATCCAGTCAGGATGCGTGGCCTAGATTCGTGAAATGGGTTAGAAATGGTGACGGTGACCACACTGCCCTGCCTCTTCTCCAAATATTCCCACATATTCCCATTAATGGGGCTCTCTGATGTCCAAACATCTGAGCAGCTGATCCCTGAGTCTTAAACAAAAACAAATAAAGCATCTGAACAAATGGACGTGGCATTGTAATCTGATAGACGAGGCCTTGTTAAAGATAGGTTTTTCGAAATTAAAGCATTCTGATTAAAGACTGGAGACTAAAAGACTAAAGACTCAAACTTCCCAGCGACAGGAAACGTGGGAATGGAGGTGTGTTTGGAGAGGAGGGGGTGGGGGGGAATGATCAACACCCAAACTCCCCTCTCACCTTTTCGCCTTCACTTTGCCCCCTCGATCGATCGATCTCCCCACTTTTCCTCCCCTGAGGGTTTCCTCCAACCGGACGGCGACTTCCCTGGCGGAATTCCCGGCCGAATTCCCGACCGAATTCCCGGCATTGCTCCTCAGCTTGGAAAACGACGGGAAGGGCTCGGCATCCTTCTCCTCCGGGTCCTCCCCAACTTCTCCGAGCAGCGGATCGTCGTCCGCGGCGTTGCCCCCCAAAAAGTACAAAAGTAAGAAAACTCCGAGGCACGCGGCGATCACGGCGACCCGGCGGTGGATCCGCATGGTGAGAGCGACTTTTTGTTGCGGGTGGAAGGGCCGGACGGAGGGTGGCTCATGTCTGCGGTGGACGGAGAGCGGCCGCAGTTGACATTTTTTTCTCAACGCTCCCAGCTCGCGTTTTTCATGATGATGGAGAGCGAGGAGCTGCCTCTCGCGCACAGTCCGTGGAGGCTTGCTCGGTGGAGGCGTGGTTTTCTCAGCTCTACCGTAATGCCGGCAGCATAGTCGCATCGTCAAATTCTGTCTATCTATCTATCTATCTATCTATCTATCTATCTATCTATCTATCT